CAGAGCCCAAATACACTTTCTGACCGCTCCGGCCTGTGCAGGGCCGTGCAGCAAGCTCAGGGCCTTGCAGATTTTGGGTTTAGGGGTACAGGGGTTTAGGGGTTTAGGGTTTAGGGTCTAAAGTTCAGGGTTTGGGGTTTTTTGGGTTTAGGGGTTTAGGGTTTAGGGTCCCAGATTTTCTAAAGGATCCAAAAAATGGACCCCCCCCTCCCAATAGGATTTAGGGTCTAAAGGATCCCAAAAAATGGAACTTCCTCATAATCCCCTAGTTTCCCCAATGTAGTACTGGGTCCACTTTGAAGAGGGTTCCATGTTTGGCATTCTTCAGACCCTGAACCCCAAGCCCTAAACCCTAAACCCTAAACCCTTCATACCCTAAACCCCTAAACCCTAAACCCTTCAGACCCTAAACCCTAAGCCCTAAACACTAAGCCCTAAACCCTAAACCCTAAGCCCTAAGCCCTAAACCCTAAGCCCTAAACCCTAAAAACCCTAAGCCCTATTTGGGGGAGGGTTCCATTTTTGGATCCTTGCTTCTAGGCAGGCCTCGCAGGGGTCCTGCGCTCGCTGCCCAGGAGGCCCTGGATGCTCGATGCCTCAAGGAACACCATGGCACTTAGGTTTAGGGTTTTAGGAATTAAGAGTTTTAGGGTTTTAGGGTTTAGGGGTTTAGGGTCTAAGGGCTTAGGGGTTTAGGGGTTTAGGGTTTAGGCTTTAGGGTTTTAGGGTTTAGGCTTTAGGGTTTTAGGGTTTAGAGTTTAAGGGTTTAGGGGTTTAGGGGCTTACGGAGTAACACCAAGGCACTTAGCACTATTTGTTGTTGTCAACCCTTCGGACTCTTAGCACTAGGGTTTAGGGGGTTTAGGGTACAAGCGACCTAGGACCATACTATTGGATTTAACGCACCATGGCACTTAGTAGCCCTCCTAAAGTTGACTGTTAAGTACCTGTAATAGGAATTTAGGGGAACCCCCAAAAAGTTAAAAGGTCTAAGGTCCTAGCTAAGTGCCGAGGAGCTCAGAGTTCAATGATGTAGGGATCATATAGGGGTTACATAGGGGGGCCATAGAGGGATACATTATCCCAATCATGGAGAATTAGATGGCATGTGTCATGGAAACCTTGATCCTAGACTGGTTGTTGGTTGGGGGCGGGGGTCCCATGCATTTGGAGTCCCTTCTTCAGGGTGTCTCTAGAAAGGAATTTAGTATGTTGGGGTGTGTAGTGGGGTCTACAGCTTTTTTTTGGGAACCCCCAATATGATAGTTCTACAGAAGCACTTCAAGGAGACCTCTGAAATCTCCTCATGAGATCCCCATCCATTTGAAGAGCTGTTTTAGGGATGCTTAGGGATTTTTGCAACTCCTTTTTCAAACCCATAGATCCTTAGGGTGTAGGATTTACTTTTGAATTTGAGCTCCAAAGTCGATAAGCTGGGCACCGTGCAGCAGGGGACAAGTTGATCGGAGCTCCCAGGCAAACAACTACTCCATAGATGCAACCTCAGGCAGACAGGAGAGCAGCAGAGCCCTGGATTCAGATAATGTAGACCCATGATTAATTAACCCCCTCCCTTTAAGGGCCTTAATATTAGTATCCCTATTATAATCCTTATTAAGGGGAGGGGGTTATTAGTCATGGATCTACATTAACATGAACAGCTCTGCAATCCTTGCAGAACCAGCCACGAACCAAGAACATGAGCATGTCATCATTGCGGTAGTTCAGAATAAAGTCTTGCTCTGTATATCCTCGGAAGGAGACCTCGGAAGCTGCGGCATGGCAAAGCCGGGGATGTGAGTTTGGCCTGTTTCTTTTTCTAGGGACTTTAGGAGGGACCCCTGATAGGGACCCTTAATCCCATTAACATATACAACCCTTATATAGTCATTATATAACCCCTATATCCCTAGGATGTCCCCATATTAATCCCCATAAGCTACAAGGGTCCCTATTAGGGGTCCCTCCAAAAGTCCTTAGACTAAACCTGCTAGGCCCTCCAC